ATATCGAGGGGTAACGGGCTATTTGGTTTAAGCGACATTTTTGCAACTTTACAGGAGAGCCTTTTAAAGTTTGAAATTTCGAAAAAAAATTCATAACAAAAACGCTTCTGCAGATATTTGAACGGGGTAAATTGCATTGAAATTTAAATAAAAATATCTAGTTGCTGATGCTAATTCCAAATAAAGCGGACCTTTAATTACAAAGATAAATGTCGCTTAATACAATCTGCCCTTTTTTAGAGTCAGGAAAAATGATTTAAGTGACTTCATAACTACAATTGGCTACAAGGGAAAAAAATTAAGCGACGATGCACTCTATTTACAGAGTAAGCCAAAAAGTATGAAGTAACGAAACCCAAAATAAATAGAAGCAAGCTATTTATCTCAACTACCAATTTAGACTAAAATGAGTAACAGGCTAATTTACTTATGTGACATATAACATTGAAATTGTATCGTTAAATGTTTATGTTTATTTACATCTAAGACGATTAATGGCTGATAAAACAACCTGGATATATCGAAACAACCGAAAATCTCAGGTGCTTACATCGGATAAATAAACACAACACAATATCAAAGTATTTATTTAGATTAATAATAACAGTCTGCATAGGAACAACGATTATATTATTATTTATTCAGCAAAATCAGATAAATTAATGGGTTATTTACTGAAATTGCCGTTTTGTATGAAAAAATTTAAACGATTTTTTTCATGTATTTTTTATTTGTATTTATCGAAGTAATCACCCATGTAATCAATGCATCGTTGCCAACGCAGTGGCAGTTTATTGGGCATCAATAAACTGCCACAAAATACTTCTTAAACAAATCAGCTGGACGGGTGGCAACAAATTCTTTAAATGCATTTTGTACTGCCTCTCGGGTAATGAATTTTTTTCCCGCGAAGAAGTTATTCAAATTCTGGAAAAGAAGTAGTCTGGTGAGTAGGGTGGATATTGGAGAGCTTCCAACCCCAGTTCTTGTAACTTGGAGACCATCTGTTGTGCAGCTTTAGGTCGCGCGTTGTAATGCAGGAGCAATGGAGATGAGCGATTGACCAGTGCTGGTTGGAGATGTGTCAGCTTCTCCATCATTGTGTTCAGTTCTTCACATTACACATCCGCAGTAATGCTCACTCCGTTTGGTAAGAACCTGTGATGAATCAGACTGGCGCTAGACCATCAGTGACCATCACTTTTCTAGGAGTAAGTTTTCGTTTCGGGTATTGTTTAGGTGCTGAACTAACTACTACTACAACTATGTTGAGCAGTGCAAGGCACTGCTCGATGCATACTTAGCTCTGGCGATCATTGAGTTTGTGGGACACCCACTTGTCAAGTTTTTTTACCTTGCCAATTTGACGTAAATGGACCAATATTGTTTTGATGCTAACGTCGAAAGCTGTTGCTAAATCAGCCGTAGATTGTATGTCATCAGCTTCCACAATAGCCTATTGTCACCAAAGTCTTCGGACGACCGCGAGGTTGATCTTGAAATTAAAGTACTTAGGATTCAATTTCGATGAGCGTTTTACGTAAACACTGGCGGTGAGTGCGCGTCCCGTCTGTCTTCGACGCATTCTGGAGTGACTGAAGCGCCAGCGCACGATAGTCCAGTTGGATGATCACGATTTTTAACACCCGGGCGATGAAATAAATATAGTATCATATGACATGATTGAAATGTACCATATTAAAATTTAGTGATTTAAAGACCGATTCATATTTTTATGAATACTGGCAAAATGTTTCAATATCCATTATTAATGTTATCATCTGTATAAAACGACATGCATTTTAAAAAAAAGGAGGGCTAAATGATTTATGACTAAACAAAATATCTGAACGAAAACGACTATTTGGTTTAAGTAGCACCCTGCGTGGAAAATAAAAGCAGCTAGAAGTGTTTAAGAGACGAACCATGTCGTATTTGGGTGACGGATAAATGTTTTAAGCGACAACACACCGTGTGATTAGTGGGAAGTCAAAATGATTCAAGTTACTTGCTAGTAAAAATTAGAAACAGGAAAAACGCTTTAACTCATTTTGACTTATTAATTAGAGATAGGGTGACTGGTTTATGTCTCGGTTATTAATATGATGGTATGGTTCAAGTACATAATTTAATAAAAAATGCGAAATCCATGTCGTTTAATACACTGTCACTTTGGAAACAACACGAAAATAGAATTGTTTCAAACGCCAAAAAAGTGCTCCGATTTTAATGAAACCGGCATCAATCGACGGAGAAAAATTCGCTGATTCCGAATATATATATAACTCAATATCGCCCAAAATGTCGCTTAAACCAAATAGCCCGTTACCCCTCGATATTAATTTTGGAAACCCCCCTCTTATTTTACATGAGACGGTACATCATTGTGCAACTCCCAACAATTATTAAATTAGATCAGAAGCTTTTGGCAACTGACGTCGACGTCACGCTAATTGTTATTGACATTTGATTGTTATGTTATTAACTTCATTGTTACATAACAATGTTACGTCAATTACAATCGAGTTAATCTAATTAATTTAGAATATGCGGGACGGGAAAAATGTTATTGATTGCTGCCTTCCTTGTTTTAATGTTATAAAAATTCTTGTTTTGTTTTCATTCAATTTTAATGGTATTCATTGTCGCATTTACGTTGAATATACTAAGATATTCTAAAGTAGGCATATTTATAACAGCATGTTTTCTTATCTATATACTTATAACTACTTCTACTACATAATCAGAATCAATACTAACCAAATTAGATCTTATTATCATTATAGACAACTCTTACGTGAATCAAATATTGTATTTATAAATCTACATTTGCATTAATAATATGTTCAGCAAATGACAGAATTTCTTCTGATCACACATTCTAAAGTTCGTTTTTATTCACAGATCTCAAGAAACCCTTCGCAGTATCACCAACTCCAGCCTCAGTGGAGGCTGGTTCTGCTGCCTCCTTACGTTGCTCCCCTCCTGCTGCAGCACCGGCTCCCAGGATTTCCTGGCTGAAACATGGACAGCCACTACAGCAAGACCATAATGTTCTCATCTCTGCTGAGGGAAATCTTCTCATTTCTAGAGCTACTTTGCAAGTAAGTATCACTATATAAAATTGTTTTTTTTTTTATGGCTTAGTCGGTAAACGAGCAGACGGATCACCTGATGGTAAACAATGCGCGCCGCCCAAGGACACCTGAAACATCAAGGCGTAACAAGTGCGTTACCAGCCTTTTGGGAATTGGGAATTTGAAGATGGTGTAGGATTCGCGGATTGAGAAGACTGTTGGAGAATTGGGCCTCCGGTAAGCTCACTCACACAATTGTTGAAGGATAAGCTAAAAAATTTAAGAATAGTCTATCTAAAAACAACTTTGTAAACTACTAGACCATAATGTAGTCAGGCAGTAAAGATTTAGAAAGATAAAACAACTTACAACTATTTACACAATCATAAAGCTTTCGGAATCAGATAAAACCCATAGCTTGTCGAATAAAGAAATCGTGTCAAACAAGATTCATTAAAACTACTAACTTATGCTACAACCAAAGCCTATTCAAGATTCTGAGAATGACCCAGATACTTAATCAATGCTGCAGTCAACCACAACTCAGGTCAAACTAAGAACATAAAACGAATATATTGTCAATAAACTTGAAATCGAAATTAACTTCAGACACAATAAAATAAACAACATTGAAACATAGCTTGGGTATAAGAAATTATGTAAACAAGCACCGAAGGCCGAAAGCGATCTCAAAATATTGCGTATAATTCAAAGAATTTGAAATTGAAAAGCATGTATAAAATGCGGCCTCGAGATGTCTTCGGAAACAAAGATCAATTTAAGTTGACGAGCTAAGAAAAATCAACGAATACAACCTCTTGACTTTAATACGAGCTCCCCGCTTAGTCATCCTATTGTTCCATTTTTTATGTCCACCCATGTCTGACAGATAGTCCAAAAATATTTTGGCACCAATTCAGACTATCTTGTCAAAGTAATTTTTGGAAAACAAGATCTGTTTTGAGAATGACTCATGTATCGTCACCCCGGAAACCAAACAGATCGTAATGATACTTATTAAAAAGTGAATAACATGCTACTGAAACCACCCAAGGACTAATGCCCCAGATGTACAGCGTTTATGATCCATAAATTAGTGCCATAATACTAAAAGCTTAATAAAATACAGCCACAAATCCAAACAATGAGCATGAACATGATCTTAGAACAGTCACGTTACAAACACATGTCAATATTAGGCCAACTATTTGTACTGTAATAAAAGTAAATTATTTGTCGCATTGGACTATGGAGCTTAAGTTTAAAATGTTAGAGATGAAAATAAACGAGCTACAGAATTAGTTAACGACACGTGGCGAATTCTAAAGACGGAGATCATAGAAAATACTTATTGTAATTTAATGTTTAAAAGACATTGAGAGTAGACACGAGTCACTAAATTATTATCATGACGAATCACCACTTAAAACTACTTATTAGATAAACCAATACATGAGAATTAATCCTCAAGAAATCTACTGAACCGATTTCGATGAAATGATGTGAGCGAATTCACCGGCCGAGCTTTTGTTTTTATTTATGTACCAAAAGGATGGCTACTTAATTTTACATCTTATTTAAAAGTACTTTAGTCTGTGTTCTATTTGAAGTGAATAGCAATAGTCTACAGCTATGCACACAATGACACTGGAGTCGGTTGCTAACTTTAAGCCACGCACCTCATTAAAATGCTCCTTCAAAGCGTCAGCGCGCACAATCGCATCATCTTGTCGCACGATTGCAAATTATTTATTTTATCTCTACGACTGCAACTAATTAGTCGAGCGCGACAGACGTTTATTAATTGCGACACAAGTCCCTGTCGGGTGCGTTTCTTCTCTTTTTTTGACTTTTTGTCGTTCAATGTCTTTCAAAGCTGGATATTCTCCGATAAAAGTGTTAAACCTGTGTTAATCCAATTATATATTTCATGGAAAAGATTTGTTTATCTTTAGCAATTAATTTCGCTTGACCCGCGTATTTTTCTTCTTTGATTTTATACCCGTTTGGGCTAAAATTGATGTGTTGATTTTAGAATTAATTCATGAGCTTTGGAGATTGGTAGTGTATTTTATTAGTCGACGCCAATAGCTGCATTCTCTGCACATTAATACCGATACAATTATGCTAATGTTGTGTCAGTTGTCGTAATCACTTAGACTTAGGTATCGTGGTTATATCTCTCTGTTTAATATTAATTCAATTTGAGTTCATCTATCATCTTTACTTCTAGTTAGTACCAATCTATATAAACCATAGCCATCAATATTGAAATCATATTTATTTACAAATATTTTAAACAAAAAGGTTTAATGAACCTGGGTGGTTTTAAGACCCGAGTGAATAGGTTGCTTATGGGCAGACGTGCTCCATCGTAGGTCGCATCATCGCTTACCATCAGGCGAGATAGTGGCCTATCAATTATAAAAAAAACTTCTTCGTTAAATACCTCTACAATTCGTAATGTTTACAAAATCATTGCATATACTTGTACTATGTCGTGTACATGAGTAACACACCTATTGTTTTGTTTACAATATACACACACGAGCAAAACAAATTCCTCGTGAAGATAAATTCAAAAGACGTGATACAATATTGTTTTCCAACCACATCACCAAATAATGGCACAATCGCAAATAACTCATTCCATCTCCGGTTTCCGCTACGCAGCTCCCACTAATTAGGCACTGTGAGCAGACATGGATTAATTGCTACCACTGTCAGTCGTTCTCTCATTGTGGGTTCGTGTGTAACATAATCTTCACAAAGGTGTCTAGAGCGCTTTCTTAATGAATATGATCGTAATGTGTTGTACGTCTTTTAAATTAATGGCTCCCGTCCTTTGTAATTTTAACACATTCAGCTTTCGGTTGTAAAAATATATTACGGAGACGGGCGCTGTAATGAACACTTTGAATTTATATTTGCCCTTTCAAGCAATGCGGGTGCTAATTTGTTTTTGTCGTCTAACAAATACTTAAGGAGTGTAATTAAAATTATGTTCTATGCTATAATTAGGTGGTTCGATATAAAGTTCAGATACAGACTTCGTGTAGCTTTCTTCAGGTATTTGAAAAAGGGAATTTGCGACGAAATTACTCTTTAAGTCAGCGTCTTTTTACGTGAACTCGGCAATTTCAGTTAAAGTAGCTATGTCATTAGGTAGAATGTACTCCTTTATTCCGTCCTGTGCTGAGCTTGACGGTGATAGTTGTATAAATAGGTGTCCGTTAACTTTATCGACCTCATAATAAACCTTTATAACCCACGTGCGACATAGATTTCTGTATAATCGTGGACATTATGACGTCTGAGATTTAGTACAGGTCGCTTTAGCAATTTCTAGGAGATTAGCAAAATATATGTGCTCGTATAATTACGATATGGCTGTGCCCTTTCCTGTGATAGGGCCTAGGAAACATCTTAGAATATACCGTATTGTTTCGTGGAGATAATTTCATGCTTAGAGTGATTTATTTAGCTGGCATCAATCTTATTTATGTTTTAAGTTATTTGGTGTGAATAGATCATAATTAACATAACATAACATAACATCACGCCTTGTTATCCCCGAAGGGGTAGGCAGAGGTGCACATTTCGGCACTTAATGCCACTGT